TCATTCAGATAAGTCAATAAAGTCTTTTATAATGTGTATGACGTGTTTAGTGTGAGAAAGCTTTATGCGAGGAGGCGTGATCTCTCATTAATATGTATGGCATTTCACACCTGAGAAAGACAAAGACCCTCCCATAATGGCCCTATTAGGTGCTATCAGGCCCTTATGAGGAGCCTTGCACAAAGAATGAGGAGATTTAAAAAAGAATGGCTTTTAGATTGTTTGGATTTATTTACAACACAACATAATCCAAAGATACACAACAAAGGACTGGTTTCTGGTTAAAATTGCTTTGGTTTCTGGTTAAAATTGCTTTTTAATTATATATACACTACCGTTTAAAAGTTTGGGGTCGGTACGATTTTAAATACTTTTAAAAGAATTCTCTTCTGCTAACCATGGCTGCGCTTATTTGATAAAAAATACAACAAAAATCGGTTATAGTATTAAATATTATTCCAGTGTAAATCAGCTGTTTTCTGTGTGAATATATAGTAAAGTGTAATTTATTCCTGTGATCAAAGCTGAATTTTCAGCATCACCAGTGTCAGTGACTTCAGTGTCAAATGATCCATCACAAATCAGTATAATATGAGGATTTGATGCTCAAGAAACATTTATTATTATTATCAATGTTGAAACAGTTGTTGGTCTGTCAGTTTTTTTTAGGATTCTTTGATGAATAGGAAGTTCAAAAGACTTTTGTAACATTATAAATGTCTTTACTGTCACTTTCGATCAAATTAATTATTCCTTGATAAATAAAAGTATTGATTTCTTTCCTCCTAAAAATAAAATTCTCACTGACCCCAAACTTTTGAACGGTAGTGTATATACACACACACACACACTGCTTAGAATAAGTGAAAACACCCATGCTAAAGTTGACTAAGAAGAGGAATAAAAAATCTTAATGCCTTAATTTAAAAAATGAGGAAAACTCTAACCTTTAGGGAAATGAATAATGTCCCTGAATTCTTTGTGAATGAATAATTTATCGCAAATAATTAAATGTTCTTCTTTAAAATACAGGGTGCATACTCTGGACACTTCTATCACACCCCCTTCACCATATAGACATGGTTTTATTTCAGTTCAAAGTTAGAGTTGGAAACATCTTGAAAAGAAAATAGTCTTTTTCCATAAATGTCTTAGTTTGATCATACATATTTCAAAGTTGAGGATTCATTATTTTGATATAGCTTGCATTGGAACAAACATCTTAGTTGATTAGTTTATTGACAAAACATAAGCTTATTTGATGTCTTTATTTTGAAGCTTATTTGATGCTTATTTGATTTGAAAAACTTTATCCAAAACTAGTCAAAGAAATGTTCTTTTATTTCGTCTGTAACAGTGCGTATCTGTGCGTTCATTCATTCATTCATTCACACACACACACACACACACACACACACACACACACACACACACACACACACACACACAGAGAGAGAAACATAATTCACATTTAAACAGTAGGATATGCTATTTGTCCGTTTACAGACACTAACGTTATTCTATATCGCGATTAGAACAAAGCACAAAACACTTACACTTCTCAGCTGAATCTGTTGCTCCTCCTCGAAGTGAAAATAAACCAGCCCTTCTGTGGTAAATGTCCCAGGATTATTCCTCATAGCCGCGCAAGACGAATCTTAATCTGACTAAAAAATATTGTGTGTTTACAGCATTTGCCTGGGGGCGTTTATCTATTTAGCAAATGGCCTCAACACATTATCTTATGAATAGCGCGCTCTGCGAGTGGATGTGAACAAATTAACGATAATGAGCTGAGACAGGAGAAACTGTACTTCTCTTTAGTTTTTGACAGATTACATTGCAGGAGAATTTTTGTTTTAAATGTGAATTGTTTTATTTAAAAGTAGAAATATAAAGCGTTCTTTAGACGTATGTTTCATGTTTGTGTGATAAGTATTAGCGGAGTTTCCGTTCATTTTCCAGACATGTTTCAGAAAGATTTTTGCGGAGACAGAGTGAGCTGAAAGCACTCCCTGTTTATTTTATTTATTTTTAAAAAAACACAAGGTTTTGATGTTAATGTGAGTGTACACACAAAAAGAAGACCCTCTATAGTTTATAATCATGTATTGATTTTATTTATATGACCATAAATGACGGAGTATTTTAAGTCTATGTTGCTGCTATGTGAAAAAAAAAACAGCAAAACGCGCGGGCGCGTTCTTGGTCCCCAGAGGGTTAAGGAGAATCGTGCAGATGTTCTTCCCTCAAATCCTAAACATGCTCACACTACAAGATTTGAAAATCGCGGCGCATCACACACTACACAATGTTATTAAGATTACCGTGCCAGAGGAAGCGCCTCACGTGATCTCACGCAGCAGATCTGAAGCGGAAAAGCAGATGTAAACACAATATCTGTCCTTCATATCAAGTCATATTCGTGAAAAGGTAGCCGTGACCAAGGAAAGCGAAATCTTTCTAAAATCATCCTTTTAACATTTTAAGGATATTTCTAATGAATGGCGTCAGCGCTGGTCAATACCGTATAGTGGAGCTCAGTTTACTCCACTTCGTTTTAACACGCTTTTTAGTTTCGGTTTCATTACTGAACATGTACTTGTCTTCGTGCCTGCTGACCACAGATTAACACTTATTTATTTAGCAATTAAGAAATGGAGATAATAACACACAGCGCGCTGTTGAGTCACTCAAAATTACCTCAAGGGAAATCCTTCACCACGACCTTTACAACATTCTTATTGGCTATTTTATAAGAATATACGTTTTGACAGTGTTGGGAAAGTTCACTTTCTACATGAACTAGTTCAAAGTTCAGTTCACAAATTTGAAAATGAATTAGTTCAGTTCATAGTTCATACTTAGAAATTTTGAACTAAGTTCACAGTTCCAAAAATGAACTAGTTCATAGGTCTTTTTTTTCCATATGTTGCTGCGAGCTATTTTTATTATTTTTGTATTATTGCCACAGCACATATAGACCCACAGACAGCAATTATTTTATCGACGGGCAAAGTTTGCACAGAAAAAAAACGATTTTTCCCATCCTCACCGACCTTGTCATAAAACATTTAAAAGATCATACGACGCCTCCTCGCTGCTTTGTCGGCTACATGCTGCTTTTAGTTTTGATGATGCATGTGGCGGTGCGACCATAGACTGTAAAAAAATATGGACGTAGTATCCGTGACGTCACCCGTAGGTTTCTGAAGAGCGTTTTTGAAGCCTAAAGTGGGCGTCGCCGACCGTCGCCATCTTGGCAGCGCGTCACCTCTCGTCACTCCTGGATAAAATAAAATGGACAAAGAGGCGAGACGTGGTTGGAGCTGAGGTGCTAATGCTATATGCTACTGGCCTCGCGCTAAAGTGACAGCTGATTGAAGAGGTAAAGCCAATAGTTAAAGTTCATGTTTTTGCCCTTCGAAATACTACAATAGTTAAAAGACGTAACTAAAAGTGAGACTATTTACTTTACTTTTTTATCAACTTTATTAATCCCACAAGGGGCAATTAGTTAAGAGCAGAATGTATACACATATATGTACATAACACAGATCACACACATTTCTCACAACATACAAGCAGTCAACTATGTGTTTCGCTGTCGTGATGCATTATTATTCTGCTAGTTAAAAATGTATTATCATGCAGACAGTAACTTACAATATTGCTCTGAGCTTGTGCGTGTGACAGTGATTCATGCGCATACATGTCAGTCAAGTTCATAAAGAGCTTTATTCAGTCCATTTTAAAATCTGATTTTGGCAGCCTCTCAATTTCTCAAATGGGTTAAAGCCAAAGATATTACTTCAGAAGTTCAAGTAAATGCACTAGAAATCCGCGCTCATTTAAGTGTGTGCATCTATTGCATGGACGGAGAGAAAGCACTGACACCTGCAGGATTTCATCTGACGGTACTTTTATTTTACACTAAAAAGTTAAATAAGCATATCTGTTCCGTGAGAGCAACAGCACCGCATAACGAGTGTGGTCTCTATGTCTACAGACGTTTTTAAATCTAAACTCCAAAAAGCAATGAAATTGTCAGACATCCATTAGTGCATGCGAGGGAAACAACTGGAAATACAGCGCTGGTTGTTCTCTCCATACTCGACAACGACGGAATCCAACGGCGTGCATGGGCGAAGGTATAATACGTGTATTAAATTGTATGAAATAATCCCGAAAAAAGCACAAACACAGCTGAGGGTGACGCTAACAGACAGCAGACAAACGACTAGCAGTGAAAGCAGCAGCAATCCACCTGTCACTCAAGTGGCCACGCCCTTAATTATGCAGAACTTTAAGGCTTAATATAATTTAAACGGATGAGTTGTAAAAAAATTCACCCCCCTCACAGTCGTCATGAAGGGCAAAATTAGCTATATAGACCAAAACAACTATTTGCCACCAGGCTGTAAACGTGAAGCTGTGTGCTGCTGTGAAGTTGGGCATTTTAACATGGGAGAGATGCAGATTTGACTCACTTTTGCAGTCAGCCTCAAGCGGCCAGTCGATGAATTGCAGTTTAATTCACTTCCGTGTTGGTTTCAAGAGAGAGACGGGGAGGTTGCCGCTTGGATGCGACACTGGTGGCTTGTGTTGCCAGATTGGGTGTTTTTTTCGATACATATTAAGGCCTGTTTACGGTGTGTTTTAGCCGGGTTTTTGCCTGGAAGGCTCTATAGAAATCTGGCACCCTATTGAACGAAGTTAAACTGAGAGAGCGTGCGTTCACAGACACCAGAATGAACGAGTTCACAGTAACATTCATCAGGCAGTAATACAGTACGTTCAATTCACGTTCGCCCAAAAATATGAACATGTTCATGAACTATCGTTCAATGAACGCGTTCAGGCACAACACTGCGTTTTGAGATCAATTTGGAGATCGAGACCACAACGCGCAAGCATCACACTTGAGACTGGTAATGCAGTAATATCCATGTGCTTTTTGTTAATAGTTTGCTTTATTTGTTTATTTGTTCTTTCTCCAGATCATGGCCCAGAGGAAGTCTTCCGGCAGACTAAACACTGATCCCTCCAGACTTAGGGACATCCCTTTCCAGGGTAACACAATGACAGATATGCTGAATTTAGCTTTTGTTTTGTGGATGATCTCCTGTGCGGATCTAAATGTTACACAGTATGTAACGCTGTTGAAAGTGGTTTTTTTTATTTTTTATGTTTACATCACCTCTAAACGAGTATTGTAATGGATAATGGAATTATACTGTTATGACTGATTCTGATCTTTTCTCCTCCAGAGTTCCCAGCTCCCAAGAATGAGCTGGCCCAGCACTTCCAGGTTTGGTATTTGGGTCGTGTGCCGGTGACAAAGCCAGTTGGTAGGATGCCGTCTGTTTATTAACACTTTACTCTCATGCTATTATATACAAAATGCACGCTTTACCTGTTTTTTTTCTGCACCACAACAAATTTCTGCCGCATGTTTTTATGTGGCTATCTCATTAGAGCTGTCGCAATGAAGGAAAATTCCCTTGAGTGGTTTTATCGCCAATTATTCATTGGTTTATTTATATTTATTTTTTGCTTTATAAATAAGTGTTATGTTGTGGTCAGCAGGCACAAAAACGAGGACATATTCAAGTCAAGTCATCTTCATTGATATAGCGCTTTTAACAATGAATTGTTTCAAAGCAGCTTTACAGAGATAAACATATAATTTAAGGTAACAGATTGTTTTGGCGTTATAGCGGTTCTTGAATAATGTTACTTCCAGCTAAAGTTAACTTTGATTGATTCACCTCCGTCGAAATGATCAGACTTTAAACGCGAACCTGTGATTAACGCTGACGGCGTTCACATGCTCATTCAGAATTCTATAGTTATGTGCTTTTTAAAATATGTGCGCAGGTTTGTAATTCATACAACCCAGCCTAAACAAACTACTTTTCTTGCCTATAAATTTTGATACAGAATTTTGTTTTATTTTATCACTTCGGGGTAAAACCATTCAATAACATTCAATAAACCATTCATTTGAAAAAATTCAATAACCCTTGTGAACGAAACTAAACAGTGTTGAAACAGGAAGTGAAGTTAACAGAAGAGAATGTCAAAATAAGGGTACACATAACAGAACATAAACCTGACAATAAGCTTGTTAGACTATTGTTATATGTATAACAGTTAGATCGAATCTCACTTGAGGAGAGGCTTTCAGCTGATATTTCTCCAGCACTGCTCGTCTCTCCGGATAGACAGGCTGTCACTCAGCACAGTTTCATTGTTGCACCACTAGGTGGCTGCAAGGGACTGTCTTTGAGTAAGTCACTAAACCGTTCATTTAACGAACACGTTCAAAAACGCTGATACATACAAAGATAGATGTAATAAGTGTTGATTATTTTAGGTGTTAATTATTTTAACTTTGAGCTCCACTTTTCAAGGCTCAGCTGACGAGCAATGTGTCACATGGGTAACGCTGCTTATTTAAAGGAGAACTCCGGCGCAAAATGAACCTTTGGTCTAATAAAACATTGGCTGAGATTTGTTTTCATGATAATCGAATGTAAAGAGTTTTATCTCTAAAAACTGTTTAGCGTATAACGCTAGTAATGGGGGCATCTATTAAGTAAAAAGAAATCGCTAGTTTATACCACTAACAAAACTCAAAATAGCCCCACACTAACACAGTAACATAATGAGGGTCCCTACATGCAAAACGAAGCATTGAGAACTTTGTAAGTGTACAGACCGTTTTACTTAATAGATGCCCCCATTACTAGCGTTAAACGCTAAACAGTTTTTAGAGATAAAAATCTTTACATTCGATTATCATGAAAAGAAATCTCAGAGAACGGTTGACTAGGTACCAATGTTTTATTAGACCAAAGGTTCATTTTGCTGTGTGGAGGAATGGAGGAGTTCTCCTTTAACATTCAATACACATGCACGAAGTGCAAAACAAGAAGGGCATAGGACACCCTGATGAAGGCTCGTTGGCCACAACTCCTCGGTGTGCGGTTATCTGTAAACTGTTTTTAATTTAAGTCATGATTAAATAAAAGCTTTTTAATATATATTTACTTAAAAACGTATCAAGCCAAGGCACTTGAGAATTTAAGAAGGGCATAGTCTTGTGAAAAAAGAACGCGAATATCGCAGTTGCTCGCATTCTTGTGCGGTTGGCTTGTCAGTATCGCGGTATTTCAATATTGCGGTTATCGCGACAGCCCTATGTGTCATCACCTCTGAGCACTCAAAATAACATCTATTTATTGTCATGTTCAAATCAAATGTAGCTGCCTGAAATCAAAGTGGAGTTGTGTTGGTATGTGTCTCCTGAAGGCATGGAGGTTATTAATGTAGCGCTGGAGACGGCCCTCAACAACAAAGACAAGGAGGATTGGACAGCGGTGAACGTGAACGTGGCGTCTGCTACACTCACCATTATAACTTCTGAGGTAGTGTGTCTGTTAACAATCTTGCAATACGTCAGTGTCATACAGATTGGGTCAGAATTATTGGCACCTCTGGTAAATATTATCAAAGATGATTGTAAAAGTAAATCTGCATTGTTTATCCTTTTAATTTTTCACTCAAAGAAATCGCAAAAATCAAACCTTTCATTGAAGTAAAAGAATTGAAACTGGGGTGTTAATCACATTATGAAATACATGCTTTATGAAATTAATTATTTTCTCAAACACATTGGCCATAATTATTGCCACCCTTTTATTAAATAATTTTTGCAACCTCCTTTTGCACACGAAAGGAATCAGAGACCATTCCTCCACACAGAATCTCTCCAGATCCTCCATTCCTCCACACAGAATCTCTCCAGATCCTCCATTCCTCCACACAGAATCTCTCCAGATCCTTCATTCCTCCACACAGAATCTCTCCAGATCCTCCATTCCTCCACACAGAATCTCTCCAGATCCTTCATTCCTCCACACAGAATCTCTCCAGATCCTCCATTCCTCCACACAGAATCTCTCCAGATCCTCCATTCGTCCACACAGAATCTCTCCAGATCCTCCATTCTTCCACACAGAATCTCTCCAGATCCTCCATTCCTCCACACAGAATCTCTCCAGATCCTCCATTCCTCCACACAGAATCTCTCCAGATCCTCCATTCCTCCACACAGAATCTCTCCAGATCCTCCATTCTTCCACACAGAATCTCTCCAGATCCTCCATTCTTCCACACAGAATCTCTCCAGATCCTCCATTCCTCCATACAGAATCTCTCCAGATCCTCCATTCCTCCACACAGAATCTCTCCAGATCCTCCATTCCTCCACACAGAATCTCTCCAGATCCTCCATTCTTCCACACAGAATCTCTCCAGATCCTCCATTCCTCCATACAGAATCTCTCCAGATCCTCCATTCCTCCACACAGAATCTCTCCAGATCCTCCATTCCTCCACACAGAATCCAGATCCTCCATTCCTCCACACAGAATCTCTCCAGATCCTCCATTCCTCATTAGATCCTCCATTCCTCCACACAGAATCTCTCCAGATCCTCCATTCCTCCACACAGAATCTCTCCAGATCCTCCATTCCTCCACACAGAATCTCTCCAGATCCTCCATTCCTCCACACAGAATCTCTCCAGATCCTCCATTCCTCCACACAGAATCTCTCCAGATCCTCCATTCTTCCACACAGAATCTCTCCAGATCCTCCATTCCTCCACACAGAATCTCTCCAGATCCTCCATTCTTCCACACAGAATCTCTCCAGATCCTCCATTCCTCCATACAGAATCTCTCCAGATCCTCCATTCCTCCACACAGAATCTCTCCAGATCCTCCATTCCTCATTGGTGGTGAGGAATGGGTGGTGAGGAATGGGTGGTGAGGAATGGGTGGTGATGGCGCAGTGGATAAGACACATGCCTTTGGTGTGAGAGACCCGGGTTCGAATCCACTGTGAGACACCAATGTGTCCCTGAGCAAGACACTTAACCCCTAGTTGCTCCAGAGGCGTGCGACCTCTGACATATATAGCAATTGTAAGTCTCTCCAGATCCTCCATTCCTCCATTCCAAATCTCTCCAGATCCTCCATTTTTCCACACAGAATCTCTCCAGATCCTCCATTCCTCCACACAGAATCTCTCCAGATCCTCCATTCCTCCATACAGAATCTCTCCAGATCCTCCATTCCTCCACACAGAATCTCTCCAGATCCTCCATTCCTCCACACAGAATCCAGATCCTCCATTCCTCCACACAGAATCCAGATCCTCCATTCCTCCACACAGAATCTCTCCAGATCCTCCATTCTTCCACACAGAATCTCTCCAGATCCTCCATTCCTCCACACAGAATCTCCCCAGCCCAGATCCTCCATTCCTCCACACAGAATCTCTCCAGATCCTCCATTCCTCATTACAGAATCTCTCCAGATCCTCCATTCCTCATTACAGAATCTCTCCAGATCCTCCATTCCTCCACACAGAATCTCTCCAGATCCTCCATTCCTCCACACAGAATCTCTCCAGATCCTCCATTCCTCCACACAGAATCTCTCCAGATCCTCCATTCCTCCACACAGAATCTCTCCAGATCCTTCATTCCTCCACACAGAATCTCTCCAGATCCTTCATTCCTCCACACAGAATCTCTCCAGATCCTTCATTCCTCCACACAGAATCTCTCCAGATCCTTCACTCCTCCACACAGAATCTCTCCAGATCCTTCATTCCTCGTTACAGAATCTCTCCAGATCCTCCATTCCTCCACACAGAATCTCTCCAGATCCTTCATTCCTCCACACAGAATCTCTCCAGATCCTCCATTCCTCCACACAGAATCTCTCCAGATCCTTCATTCCTCCACACAGAATCTCTCCAGATCCTCCATTCCTCATTACAGAATCTCTCCAGATCCTCCATTCCTCCACACAGAATCTCTCCAGATCCTCCATTCCTCATTACAGAATCTCTCCAGATCCTCCATTCCTCCACACAGAATCTCTCCAGATCCTCCATTCCTCCACACAGAATCTCTCCAGATCCTCCATTCCTCCACACAGAATCTCTCCAGATCCTCCATTCTTCCACACAGAATCTCTCCAGATCCTCCATTCCTCCACACAGAATCTCTCCAGATCCTCCATTCCTCCACACAGAATCTCTCCAGATCCTCCATTCCTCCACACAGAATCTCTCCAGATCCTTCATTCCTCCACACAGAATCTCTCCAGATCCTTCATTCCTCCACACAGAATCTCTCCAGATCCTTCATTCCTCATTACAGAATCTCTCCAGATCCTCCATTCCTCCACACAGAATCTCTCCAGATCCTTCATTCCTCCACACAGAATCTCTCCAGATCCTCCATTCCTCCACACAGAATCTCTCCAGATCCTCCATTCCTCCACACAGAATCTCCCCAGCCCAGATCCTCCATTCCTCCACACAGAATCTCTCCAGATCCTTCATTCCTCCACACAGAATCTCTCCAGATCCTTCATTCCTCCACACAGAATCTCTCCAGATCCTTCACTCCTCCACACAGAATCTCTCCAGATCCTTCATTCCTCGTTACAGAATCTCTCCAGATCCTCCATTCCTCCACACAGAATCTCTCCAGATCCTTCATTCCTCCACACAGAATCTCTCCAGATCCTCCATTCCTCCACACAGAATCTCTCCAGATCCTTCATTCCTCCACACAGAATCTCTCCAGATCCTCCATTCCTCATTACAGAATCTCTCCAGATCCTCCATTCCTCCACACAGAATCTCTCCAGATCCTCCATTCCTCATTACAGAATCTCTCCAGATCTTCCATTCCTCCACACAGAATCTCTCCAGATCCTCCATTCCTCCACACAGAATCTCTCCAGATCCTCCATTCCTCCACACAGAATCTCTCCAGATCCTCCATTCTTCCACACAGAATCTCTCCAGATCCTCCATTCCTCCACACAGAATCTCTCCAGATCCTCCATTCCTCCACACAGAATCTCTCCAGATCCTCCATTCCTCCACACAGAATCTCTCCAGATCCTTCATTCCTCCACACAGAATCTCTCCAGATCCTTCATTCCTCCACACAGAATCTCTCCAGATCCTTCATTCCTCATTACAGAATCTCTCCAGATCCTCCATTCCTCCACACAGAATCTCTCCAGATCCTTCATTCCTCCACACAGAATCTCTCCAGATCCTCCATTCCTCCACACAGAATCTCTCCAGATCCTCCATTCCTCCACACAGAATCTCTCCAGATCCTTCATTCCTCCACACAGAATCTCTCCAGATCCTTCATTCCTCATTACAGAATCTCTCCAGATCCTCCATTCCTCCACACAGAATCTCTCCAGATCCTTAATTCCTCCACACAGAATCTCTCCAGATCCTCCATTCCTCATTACAGAATCTCTCCAGATCCTCCATTCCTCCACACAGAATCTCTCCAGATCCTCCATTCCTCATTACAGAATCTCTCCAGATCCTCCATTCCTCCACACAGAATCTCTCCAGATCCTCCATTCCTCCACACAGAATCTCTCCAGATCCTCCATTCCTCCACACAGAATCTCTCCAGATCCTCCATTCCTCCACACAGAATCTCTCCAGATCCTCCATTCCTCCACACAGAATCTCTCCAGATCCTCCATTCCTCCACACAGAATCTCTCCAGATCCTCCATTCTTCCACACAGAATCTCCCCAGCCCAGATCCTCCATTCCTCCACACAGAATCTCTCCAGATCCTCCATTCCTCATTACAGAATCTCTCCAGATCCTCCATTCCTCCACACAGAATCTCTCCAGATCCTCCATTCCTCCACACAGAATCTCTCCAGATCCTCCATTCTTCCACACAGAATCTCCCCAGCCCAGATCCTCCATTCCTCCACACAGAATCTCTCCAGATCCTCCATTCCTCCACACAGAATCTCTCCAGATCCTCCATTCCTCCACACAGAATCTCTCCAGATCCTCCATTCCTCCACACAGAATCTCTCCAGATCCTCCATTCCTCATTACAGAATCTCTCCAGATCCTCCATTCCTCCACACAGAATCTCTCCAGATCCTCCATTCCTCCACACAGAATCTCTCCAGATCCTCCATTCCTCATTAGATCCTCCATTCCTCCACACAGAATCTCTCCAGATCCTCCATTCCTCCATACAGAATCTCTCCAGATCCTCCATTCCTCCACACAGAATCTCTCCAGATCCTCCATTCCTCCACACAGAATCTCTCCAGATCCTCCATTCCTCATTACAGAATCTCTCCAGATCCTCCATTCCTCCACACAGAATCTCTCCATTCCTCCACACAGAATCTCTCCAGATCCTCCATTCCTCCACACAGAATCTCTCCAGATCCTCCATTCCTCATTAGATCCTCCATTCCTCCACACACAATCGCTCCAGATCCTCCATTCTTCCACACAGAATCTCTCCAGATCCTCCATTGCTCCATACAGAA